CCACTTCTGGCTTTTTTCTTTTTGCTTATGTGGTGCTGAGGAATCAAACCCAGGGCCTCATGCATGCAAGGCAAGCACTCTACCACTGATCCACCTTCCAAGCGCCAAGATCCTACAGGTAAAGGGCTTACTCCATCAATCAGACTGACCCGGCCCAAAGGTGCAGGTTGTTTGCTTGTGCTACTTACAAACCCTCCTCCTCAGGTTTTTACTAAATTTACTAATTTACTAAAGACCTCCAAACCCAGGGAAATGCTTTTCTCCTTATGTCTTCTGGTTTATTAGAGAGGACATTAAAAAGGATATAGATGAAGAAATGCATAGGGTAAGATATGTGGGAAGTAGCACAAGTCTTTCTTGCAAACGCTATTCGGAAAAACTCTCTGCAAACCTCCATGTGTTTCTATCTGAAAGCTCTCTAAACTTTTTCCTTTTCCTTTGGGGGGGTGGTGAGCAGTAGCAGTCATAACTGATTAAATTATGGTCAACTTTAGACCAAAATTGATCAACTCAGTCTCCAACCTCTCTCTTCTCAGGAGGCTAAGGTTGGAGTTGAGAGACCCTCTAAAGTAATTTTGACCTTTCCAGTGAACAACTCCCACCTAGAAGCCAGCTCTCTGAGTAAGTTAATTCATTAGCTTATAGAAGGTATTACTTAAGAGTCTAGGATTTTAGGAATTGTGTGGCAAAAATTCAGTGACAAATACCAAATAGTTTACAATGTCCCAGTTATACTATACTCTTCAACACGAACTTGAAAAATCCACCAAAAAAGCTCTAAGGAAAAATTGGAGTGGGCGAAGTGGCACAAGCCTGTATCCCAGCACTCCAGTTCATGAAGGCGGATCAAGAGCACAAGGCCAGCCTGGGCTACTTAGCAGACTGTCTTAACAAAATAAAAGGTCCATCTGATCTGGATGCTATACCATCTCCCTAAAAAGCTCGGGGAGAAGTGGCAATGGACATGTATTTCATGAAGGACTTTCCTCTCTCATCGAATGGGAGGAAAAGAGCATACATATCATATATATGTATACATATATATGCTCATATAATATACATTAAACACACACACACATATCATGGTGGGCGGGTGTGTGCGCTGTCCCTTAGGTTGTTGTTGTTGTTGTTCAAGGCTGGCGCTCTATCATTTGAGCCACAGCTCCACTTCTGGCTTTCTATTGGCGATAGTCTCATTGACTTTTCTGTCCGGGCTGGCTTTGAACCGTGATCCTCAGCTGTCAGTCCCCTGAGGGATTAGGGCTAGGCTTGATCAAATAGTAAATGTATTTTTAATGATCACAATAGCCATAAAGGACATTTCATATGTAGTATCCAGTTAGAGGTCCATTAACTGCCTGCATCAGCACGGGTGCAAGGTGGACCCCAGTCCAGGCATCCTGACTGTGTTCACACACACAAACGCCTTCTTTGGCTGATTGTCTGGGAGGTCAGTCAGAGTCCTCCAGACTCACCGGATCTGGGAGGAGCTGCTGGAACAGAATGAGGGCGGGGGGGATGCCAAACGGCTCATCCCGGGGAGCACCGGGCCCCGCAAAGCCCAAACCAGACGGTGGCACCGAGCGACGACTTCCCCGGGGGAGTGGGGGGGGCTGGCGGTCACGGGCCGCGGGCGACCCGCTCCCGCGGAGGCCTGAGGTAGAACCGGCTCGCAGCCCGGTCCTCACACCGCTAGACGCCCACCCAGCGCGGGCCAGCGTCCTCCCCCCACCTCCCGACCGCAGCTTACCTGACGCACAGCTCGGTGAAAGAAACCTCAGCTAAATAAACCGTGGAAGGATCCTCGGGGTCCGGACAAAGTCCGTGTGCTCCGACGCAGAAACGCCTACCAGCCAACACCGCGCAAAATTCAAACTTCCGGCCCGGGCCTCTGATTGGAGGGGCTTTAACCAACACTTCCGGGAGTGAGCTCCCGCCCCTTCCTCTCGGCGAGATATGCGATAGGTTCCCTCGGCACGATGTTTGAATTGATTGAAAGGCCACGCGACCGTTCAGAGGATGGGTGTGACAGGGAAAAGAGGCGGGATGGCCACGGAAGAAGGGTAGCGCCGAGCCCAGTTGTGGGCAGCCCGCTGGGTCCAGACCCGGGCGCCGTGTCTCACGTCCGCTTGCGCTGCTTCCCTGGAGCTTCATTCGCTTTTGGGATCCACTTCGCAGGGATTTTTGTTTTGTACGGGTCCTGGGGTTAGAACTCAGGGTCTGGAGTCTGTCCCTGAGCTATTGTGCTCAAAGCTGGCATTCTACTCCTTGAACCACAGCTCCATTTCCGGCCTTTTGATAGTTAATTAGCGGTGAGACGCTCACAGCCTTTTCTGACTAGATGGCTTTGAACTGCGATCTGCAGACCTCAGCCTGAGTAGTTAGGATTCATACGTGTGAGCCATTGGCGCCAGGCTCTCAGGGCTTTTTTGGGGGGTAGGAGACAGTCCTGGGGCTTGAACTCAGGGCCTGGGCACTATCCCTGGGCTTCTTTTGCTCCAGGCTAGCACTTGAGCCACAGTGCTATTTCTGGCTTTTTCTGTTTATGTGGTATTGATGAATCGAACCCAGGGTTTCATGCATGCTAGGCAAGCGCTCTACCACTAAGCCACATTCCCAGCCCCTCTCAAAGCTTTGTAACGTCCAGTTTGGGCATGGAAATCCAGCAGCATTTATTGTTTTGCTTTCTTTTTCTATTCTTTTCTTTGCTTTTATTTTTGTTTTTGTTGTTGTTGGTCATAGGACTTGAACTCTGGGCCTGGGCGCTGTCCCTCAGCTCTTCAGCTCAAGGCAAGTGCTCTACCACTTGAGCCACAGCACCACTTCTGGTTTATTTATTTATTTATTATTGTGAAAATACTGTACAGAGGGGTTACAATTACATGGGTAAGGTAATGAGTACATTTCTTATCTAGCACTGTTACCTCCTCCTTTGTTTCCCCTTCCCATCTCTGCCCCCCTCCCCAAGCTGTAAAGTTCGTTTTCCACATAATGTCTTGTACATCTCATTGTTGCAATGGGTCACCTGTATCCCTATTTAAACAATTTTTTTCCCCTGCCCCTCCACAAATTATACCAACATCAAATACAGTGAAAGCAGGGGTTATACTATGGGGGAGGGACATACAAAGCAACAAAGAAATAATCTTATAAATATGTTAGAAACAATCGCAAGAAAGAAAAAAACAGTTGAATCCTTATCTTGGGGTTCATTTCACCTACATCTACTTATCTGACCGT